TAATTTTTTTTATCAAATATAATATTTAGATTATAATTAATATGTTTATATAATTTTTTATTCTATATAAACAAAAATAAAAAATTTTATTAATTAATAACTTTTTGAGTTTGATTATTTTATATAATAATTTATAATTATTTTTTATAATTTTATATAGTAAAAAAAATTCAAATTTTTAGACTTTAAAGCTTAATCCTCAATAACTGGTAACTCAATTTTTCTAAAATTTAAAATATATTTATCATATATATATTAATGTACTTGCTTAATACAAATTTATAAAATTGCATATTCATAAAAAAAATATTAAAAATCTATTTTTTTAAAAAATTCAAAAAGTTTTGTCTTATCTAAAATTTTATTAAAAGATAATAAAAGAATAAAAATAGTACAAACACTTAGATTAGAATATACTTTTAATAATGTAAAAAAATTATTAACTTTTAATTAATAAATTTTATAATTATAATTAAAAAAGTTTTATTTTTACTTTTTGGTGTATCAACCTTTTTGCACTGGACCATAGCAATAACAAGCTCAGAGTGTTATGGTTGTGGAGTTCGCAACTCATGTTAGATCTTTCTCTTTATACACAAACGCAACCTCGATCGACTGGTCGATTCGTAGAAGCCGTGCTAACTAAAGAATTAATCCAGCCAGCATTCGCTACCATATGAAAGCCCGTGGTATGGAACAACCGGTTATCGTAAATTAAAGATTTATGCACGTGCGAATTTCCCATAAAGCTCTTGGTTTAATAAGTCGGAACTAAGTATCTACACGCGTGTTTGCGCGTTACGTATTTTCACATGAAATTTGCTCCCATAAATGACGCGCGTAAATCACATTCAGATCGTCAATCACATTCAGATCGTCAATCACATTCAGATCGTCAATCACATTCAGATCATCAATCGAGTGACGAGACCAACCCATCCGCAGGTCATGGCATAGCTGAAATCATGAACACGTAACCCAGCGCTAGGTTATGGTATACAATATTTCACATGTGGCCTGACGACGGAAATCGGCCATGATCAAATCAATCGAAAAAGCAAACGAGGCAAGTAAACATATCCCGGCACACTAACAAATGTATCGGGACTTTATGCCGGCTAAGCCGAAAATGATGTCTATTAAATATTCTATGCGATATATAAAATGGCATCAATGCAAGACCGCAACACTAAACTATCTCAAGCTATCAATAAACTCTTAACGGAAGAGATTGAGAGAGTACTCAAAACTTATATGGAAAAGCTAGTACAAATATATGAGTCTGAAATTGACGAAGCATTAAAAGATGCAATAATTATTCGTAAACCTGCAATCAAGAATCCTGTCCCCTCTAACGACGCATAAATCGCAGGATATACCATTACTTTTTTTCGCGCCACGATTTCGAACGCCCATATCCCGACGAGGATCCACGCTATGAAATCGATCAAGCAACCGTTACGTAGCCTTCGACCCGCTCTCTCGATCGATCTTAGGAAGGCCATAGTGGGAAATCGCTTTCCGTTGCGCAAAACGCGCGTGCAAACAGCGGGCATCAAGTGACCAAGCAAATAGAAATCGATCGTCAAGCCACGGCACTGCGTGTGCCGAAATCGCCAGCGTGTAGGGGGAATCGTCCGACCACGTGATTTCCGGACCAAATGATCTGCATTATTTGGTCCGAC